CACAACACTGCTGAACAGGATTGGAAGTGAAAGAGTGCTAGCTATGCACTCTGACACTCTAATCCGAGAACATCAGGACCGGAAATATAAGGTTGAGATAGATAGCAGCAGAATTCATAAACCAAATAGTGGAATAAATTGCTACACAGATGGCTCTCTAACAGCCTTCGGCTCTGGAGCAGGCATCTATCGCAAAGATATAAAAGAAAAAATTTCTATACCACTTGGCAGGTATGCTTCAGTGTTTCAATCCGAGATACTGGCAATCTGCCACTGTGTACAAAACCTACTGCAAACCAATGTGACTGAGAAAAAGATCACCATCTTTACTGACAGTCAGGCAGCAATAGGTGCTCTTGACAATTATTATGCTTATTCAAAGGTCGTTAAGGAATGCAATAGAGCACTTAACGAGCTAACTGAGCACAACAGAGTTGCAGTGGAGTGGGTGCCAGGCCATTCTGGCATACCGGGCAACGAGATGGCTGATGAGCAAGCCAGGTTGGGCTCAGATACTATTCCTATAACTCCCGAGCCTGTCTGTGGAATCAGCCTTAGTACTGCCAAGGGCAGGATCAGGGAGATCTATGGGAACAAATTTAGGAATTACTGGACCGACAAGAAACAGAGACACTCGAAGCTGTTCCTTAAAGGCCCATGTAAAAAAAGAAGTGAACAGCTACTGAACATGGACAGAGCAGCTCTTAAAAAACTCACAGCGATCTACACAGGTCACTGTAAGTTAAATAATCATATGTTCAATCTCCGAGTAATGACGAATCCGATATGCAGATTCTGTCAGGAGGAGAATGAAACAGCTTTTCACATCATATGCAGATGTGACAAGTTTATAAGGCTGAGACTGGCGTTATTTGGGGAGGAACAGATGGATCTCCCCAGTAGATTTGAGTCGGTTAACCCAACCAGCCTACTGAGATACGCGGAAGCGACAGGACTAACGTTTTGAATAAGACGACCTAGCGAATATTGGCGCACAATGGACCCAAAGGGGTCGACGTGCTTAAAGCCAACATAAAAAAAAAAAAAAAAAAAAAAAAAAAAAAAAAAACTGATGGGTAAAATGGTGGATAGAGGGGCATAATCCAATAAAAAAAAAATAATAATAATAAAAAAAAAGTAATTAATAAAACTGGTGGGTAAAATGGTGGGTAGGACATAATCCAATAAAAAAATAATAATAAAAAATAGTTACTAAAACTGGTGGGTAAAATGGTGGGTAGGGCATAATTAAATAAAAAAACAACAATAATAATAATAAAAAAAACACATTGTGGGTAAATGGTTGACTGTCGTGAATAATGAAGAGAAGAATAGTTGGGGTGATCAGTCAAATAATAAGGCAAAAATAAATGTTATCATTTATTTTTGCCTTATTATTTGACTGATCACCCCAACTATTCTTCTCTTCATAAAAAAAAAAATAGATACTAAAACTAATTGAGGTGAGTCTAACTCACATTCTATGTACTTGCAAGGTTATAAAAGTAAGTTAGTGTTTTGTTTAAATATGACAGTGTATAGATCAAGTTAACAAATATGATGCATAAAACTATAAAGCAATGGCCTAAGACAGGAAGAGATTGAGAAGGTTGATTAAGGTAGTAAAATTTAATAAGATAAGTTTGCATCTTCTTAAAAACAGCAAGAAAACAAAGTATTTGCAATTTTGACACTGTAGGTAAGAATTGCTAAATTAAAGTAGTTCTAATTTTTCATAAATAGACATAGAAAAAATCTTCATTACATTTGTTTCACCAACACTTGTTAAATTTGTTGTTTTTTATTGTTTTACTATTATTGAATCTTAATAGAGATGGAAATAATATTTAATATAAAACTTACGGTCGGCAGGGGGTTGACATTTCCTTCTGGAAGGTTGTGGTGAGAAGTGGTCAAGAGCAGAGGTAGAACTGGATGACAAGTGATATCATTAACTCTGAACCTGTGGCCCGAGGCTCGTGAGGCATGGCCGATACTTAGAACCTGAAAATAACAAATATTTTTGTAATGATGAAGAGATGGTTGACCGTTGATATAATATGAGAAGGAGTTTGTCGGGGGTGCGGTCAGATAAATACTAAATTAAAATATAGTAATTATTTTATTTTAATTTTGCCGATATTTCGACCCACTTTGCAGGTCGTGTTTCAACAGTGTTTCAACTGCTTCCCGCAGTGCTACATCCTACGCCCTGAAGACGACCTGCAAAGTGGGTCGAAACGTCGGCAAAATTAAAAAATAATTACTATATTTTAATTTAGTATTTATCTGACCGCATCTCTGACAAACTCCTTCTCAAAATATTTTTGTAGTTTAAATATTAAAACCATCCTATATATTATTTCTAAAAGGTGTTTTTTTTTTGTCGGTACGTTATAACTTCGTCAATTCTTCATCAAATCCAATGATTGACCACTCATTTTGAAGATATTCTTCTCCTTCACATGCGAAAAATAATCCTATCTCCCTGAAATTTCTGGAAAAAAAAAGTTATGAAGGAAAAGAAACTTTATTTGTGTATAAATCAAAAAGTATGCATTTTTTTTTTTTGGATTGTAGTACCCATGATAATTAAAAAGAACGAATTCACAAACAAACGAATTCATAACTTCATTACCCACATGGTCGTTCTCATCCCACCACTAAGCTTTCCAATTATCAAGCTATTCATACGTAAGGTTGAATAAGCAATAAAAATTAAATGTAAATACTTCATCTGGAAATTATGTTATTGATAACTATTTTCACTAATCTATATATGTATAGTATGGGAAAATATTGCGATAGAAAAAAATTTGAATCCGAGTTTGAGTCCTACAGAATGGTCTGTGTGAGTGTATGTAATGTGTAACTGCCGACTGGTACTGGTCCTGGTAGGGGCAAGTGGGCCTTGTAGACCTTTTTGACAATCTAAGACGGCTACCATGAGTTTGCCGCTGCGTTCTTACCAGAGTGGCTATGTCTGAGTGTGGCATGGCCAAGTGGACTAAAACATGTGAGCAAAATACGCGTAGTCCGGCTACCTGATAAACCAAAGATTAAGAGTTCAAGTCCCAATGGGATTTCATATTATTAATTCCAACTTATTGATATTTCCACTTCTATCGTGTGGTCTTTAGCACAAACCACAGTTTTTTTTTTTTTAATATAGCAAGATCACTGCAAGCAGTAAGAGAGGCATTCTCTGCTCTTGAAGAAAAAGCTAGAAGCCTTGGTCTTGAGATCAACCTAGAAAAAACCAAGTACACGGTATCCAAGCTGACTCCTATGCCTGGCGAGAAAGTACGGTTTGGAAACTACTTCTTCGAACAACTCACTCAATTTACGCTCTTGGATTCCAAATTACATGTAATAATGAAATAGAGGTCGAGATCAGAAGAAGAAGAATATCCACAATCTGCAGCTACTTTTATTAGTTGAAACACAAATTGTCAAAAATGGGTGATAAATATTCAGGACGCAGTCTTATTTAAAATTTTTTATAAATTTTTTTTTTAAATAAGATTGCGTCCTGAATATTTATCACCCATGATATGTAGTACAGTCGACTAGCTTCCTTCAAAAATTGTCAAAAAGGTTTATTTCAAGAAGAACAAAGACCATTTTGTACAAAACTTGAATTATTGGACAACGACCAAGACTAGGCGTCAAAGTATCTTGCTGTTCCAAAGAAAGATTCTTTGACGAATATTTAGATCAGCAAATATTAATGGAAGGTGGAGAAGGACCGACCAGGAGATTTATGATATCAATAGTGAGCGAAACATCGTATCCATTGTGAAGCGAGGCAGATTGAGGTGGGTAGGTTATATGGCGAGGATGAGTAACGAGCAGATACCAAGGAAACTGGTTTTGGAAGTCATTCACGGAAGAATAAGAGTCATCAGGGCAAGGCTTCGCTGGATTGACTGTGTGACAGGGAACACAAGGAGCCTCGGAATCCGCAAATAGATGGAAGCGGCATTATACAGACTTCTGGCAGTTGCTTATTGAGGAGGACTAGGCACGGTGACTCATTGCAAAGAGACAAGACTTTTTTCATACCCCTTGGAAAATTATAAACAAGTCAAAGACTCGTAACCTCATTTTGATAAATTTTACAAGATAAAAAGTAATCATTTAACGTGTATTATATAAAGTGATGCAGATCTAGTTCCTATAATTTTTACTACTTACATAGGTACATACTTATTATTTATCGGAGATATTTTTGTGATTTTAAATCTCTAATTATAATAAAATTCCGGCAATGGAATTATGTGATTTAAATGGATTTATGGTGGTTTTCATTACCTGAATTATCTATAGATATTGCGTAAATTATAAATTTGTCGCTAATAAATTAATGAAAAATAGAAAAATCACTCATTTTTACTTTTTCATAATGTCATAAAATATTTCATACTAATCTTTAATAGTTAGTTAAAATAACATAAATCAGTGCTTATCAGTTGCCAGTAACCACTAACATTAGCTAAAAACTATAATTATCATCCACACAACCTACAAATATTAAGAAGAATACAAGGTTAAGATTATTTTAAACATAAATGGGACTGTGTGAATAAGAAAAATAAATACTAAGACCAGAAGATTCTTGAGAACAGCCCTCGGCAGCTGGTTTATATATTTTTTAAAAGTTCAATGTCTAAGTAATTGTTTAAATCCTTTATTCATTCAGTTGTGGTGTAATTATCAAAGAAATTCTTTAAAAAGTTATAGTTAGATCTCGCGGTTTAACCGCTCCATCTCTTTAATCAGATCAGAGATTAAAAAACCTCAGAAGAGAGTAAATCCTCTTGATAAATTAATTCAAGATAAAGTATTTTGCAATTTCATAATATAGTGCTGCCAATATCGTTACAGGGAACAATATCCTATTTTAGTTTAATATTAAAAGTGGGAAAAGGTGAAAAGAGGACTCATTATTTGAAAAATATCTGTATCTTGGATTATAAGAGGAATGGACAATTATTTACCTGTGAAAACTTTGTTTTTTCAGCAAACGTTAACTGCCAAAGATTCAGAGTTCCGTTAGAGTGTTTTGTAACCATAGATAGAGTCGGAGAAGGTGGGGCAGCGAGCATGTCTTGCAGAGAGGTCTTTTCATTCCCTGGAGTATTAGCCGTGGCAGTAGTTTTAGCTTCCTCTTCGTCTTGGTTTGCCTCATCTACTTCTGTCTTTAAACCAGTTTCTGTGTCTTCTTCTACAACACTTGGAAGGGGTACTGAATGACCGGCCAGGTCACCATCTTGTTCTGAAATCAGAAATGAACTAAAGTAATTTCTTTTATGAATTAGAAAACAAAATATCTATATATATTAAAATGAATGTATGTCTGTCTGTCCTTAGTGCACTACTAAACCATTCAACCGATCGCCATGAAACTTTTTGGAAGTTGTTCCGTACACTCCTGGGAAGGTTTCTGGCATAGTACTTCTGTCTTAAGATAATTTTATATATGTAAAAAAAAAAAATGTAAATGTTTTTCTGTTCAAAGCCGCAAAAAAATGTGTCGCTATAAACTGTAACGCCAAAACATCTTCACCGATTTTAACGAAAATTGGCTAAAGTCTTCCCCTTGAAACCCTTTTAATTTATGGGTATAACATACTTTCCCGAAAACAAGCTGAAAAATGTTACGATGAATTCAATATTCTATTTTCCGATAACTAAAAAAAGTACAACATTTTTTATCAATAATACCCATATTTATTTGAAAGATTCCTGAATTGCTGACAAAATAAAAAAAAAAATCATCGAAATTGGACGGTTCGTTGCACAGTTATAGTTTTAAACATTTACTGCTTTCTCTTCAGAAAAGGCCGTTTCCTTTTGCTTCCTCACTACCGAAGATCTGCAAGCATTTTTTTTTAATTTTTATTGATTAATCTAAAATTTTATAATTACTACAGTAATTGAAATTATCATTTAAAGAAGTTATATGATTCTCCTTATGTAGGTCAATACTATTATACGTTTTTTTTTTATTAATTTTGTTTTATAAGTTCAATTCAGACTGTTTCTGATGATTGTGAATGACGGCGTATTCACTCAGATGATTATGAATGTTCAATTTGAATCATAAGAAAAAAATTATTAGAATTAGTTTAAATTGAAGCCATTTTACAGACAAATTTGTTTCCCAACTTTTTAAAAATGACAGATGTCCTTTGCTACTAATCTACTCATATGTTCTTTCTATTTTCTTTCTTTTTCATTTTACCAGGCTAAGCCACAGCAGCGCGTGGCCGGGTAAAGCTAGTTAAGTAATAAGAGAGCTATCATTTATGAAAGGTGCACATATTCTGTCGGAGCCTATACATGCCTCGCCTGTAATATAATAGTGTATTATGCATATTCAAAAGTAATCATAAAATCCAAAAAATGCTCAAGTGCTCCAAACAGGCTCGTGGTGTATCTTCATTAGTTGTTAGTCCAAACTTGATAACCCTTATATTGGATTTTCTCATATATTCTTTCATTTTTCTCTGTTTGTTGTTTAAGGTTCATTTGCTGTGTTATATATGAACTGTTCTACTCTTTATCTTCTATGCCGCCTGTTGCATTGGTCAAAATACAGAAACTCTTACAGTTTGATTAGGACTTTCTACTTCATCCTCCATACTCCCCAGACCTTGCCCTATCCAATTATTACTTATTTATTTCGTTGAAAAATTCTCTCCGTTGAAAAACTACATCTGGCCAAAAATTACATTAGTCAATATTAAAGAATATATAGTATTTTCAGTAAAATTAAATTAAAACAAGTAAAAATAACACCATTTTGGAAAAAAAACAACATTATTTAAATGAAAAGAGAATAAAATAAAATAAACATGGGTTGATTTTTAAAATTAAAACTCTATCAATTTTAACAACCATTCACCTCAGTCAAAATCTGTTTCGCAATATTTATTTCATTGTATAACGTCATTTTGGGATGTGAGAAGGAATTGGTAAAGATGATATTTAAATGAGGTCGAGGAAGAGGCATGGCAGATTTCAGAAGGCAAGGAATTCCAGAAGGCAGTGGATCGGGCAATAAAGGAATAATCAAACTTCTTAGTTCTATGGGAAGGGATATAAAGGTCGGAAACACGGGATCTTGTTTTCTGGGAGAGGACCACGGGTTTAAACTGTAGGAGACTGTAGATGTAGGAGAGTGTCGGGTGTTGATCGTATGGAATAGGAAAGATCCAAGGAAATATTGTCTGCGGAAAGAAGGAAGATCCATTTTAACTTTTCGTAAAGGTGGGATACATGAGACCGCCTCGATGTACCGAAGACAAATCTTAAGCACGTATTCATGAGTCCCTTCAATCTATCCTCAAGTATATATATATACCTATATCGGGATGCCTCCGTACACCACACAGCCATAGTCAAAGTGGGGGAAAATGAGAGAGGATACAAGGAGCTTGCGGATGGATTGTGGGAGTAGGTGGCGGGTGCGATGAAATAGCTTAATGGTACATATTAACTTACGGGAGATGAGGGCGATATGGGGTTTCCAGGAGAGGTTTTCGTCTATGGTAATTCCTAGGTTTTTAACGGAGGAACTGAATGTGATAGGATGATCCTTGATGACTAAAGGAGGAAGGAAGAAAATGGATTTAAGAATAGAACTGGAACCTCTAATAGTGGCCTGAGTTTTCATCGCATTTAGATTTAAATTATTCAGACTTGCCCAGGCACTGATACATACCTTAAATGCGTGATATCAGTTTCGTATTTTTATGACTTTTAGTTTCTGAGATCGACTGTTCTCTCTCGCACACAAACTTACAGTGATCAGTAAAGATTGCTGGAAGTTTTTTGCGAGTTGGTTTATGGTTTATCCATAATTCTTATTATTTTAATTTTTTTTTTTAATTTTCAAAAATAAAAATATTTATATAGAAAAAAAAGGCAATTAATTCATAATTTTTTTAATTTTTGCTTATAGCATGTCATTTTTACTATGTCATACTTATAGCAAGCTTCAATCTTAATACATATTCATCGACATGCCGAAAATTCATCATTTCACTACCAATCACCAACAGCCAAATGACAAAATTCGTCATTTGTATGTAAAATAAAATAATTTATTCTTGTTCTATTAATTCTAAATTGAGCTACTCATATCACTATTACCAGTGTCCTCGAATGCAATATTACTCAATAAAGGAATTTTTTAATTCTAAATAAATTAAATTCTACTTTTTACCAAATAGAGATAAAGAGATGCCGGAATTTTGTGAATGGCGGTGCAAATAATTACTGGACAAGTATGTTTTACGAATCACTAATAAATCTAAGATTTTACCACTTGTCAGACTAGTATAGTAATCTATACACTACATTATATAAATTTAAAACATATTTGTAACAATAAAGAAAAAAAAAAGAAGACAATCACCGTTAACAGGTGATCTAGAAGCTGAAACAGATTTTACAACGTCCCTAAAGACGAGCTGCAGATGACAACAAGATGTGTGGTAGAGGCAGATATTGTTAGACATAGTAATGGCGTCTCCCAGAGGAAACGCAGACGGTATCCGTGTTGAGAAGGAGACCTGAGCCTGGCGGAAACTACCAGGGTGATATTCGTCCAACCAATCGACAACCCTAAAAGTTCATATTTATTTAAATAAAGTTATAATTACCTAGTCCTGTCATAAATATTGTTACAAGGAAATATATTTACAGATTTCAACAGAAAAATTAATCTTTTCAAAAATATTATTAGAAAACAAAATGTATATCTATAGAGAGTAAAAAAAATAATAAATTACTCAAAATGGACTCCTTTTTCCTTGACACAGGCATTTAATCTCCATGGCCAGTCATCAATAGCAGTGCGCAGCACTTCTTAAGGAAAGCGCTCAACTGCTCGGACCAGAGATTGTTTGAGGCTTTCCAAGTTAGGGTGTGCTCTGTGGCATGCCATCCTCTCCAGTTCGGAAAAAAACCGATAATCTAGTGGGTTGAGATCAGGGCTTCCTGAGGGACAATCCGAGGCAGAGATTAACTTTGGAATGTTCTTTTGCAGCCACTGCTGAGTTGACCTGGCCTTGTGACCTGGAGCGGAATCCTGCTAAAAAACCCAATGACTTCCAGGAAACAGAGTATCATTTAGAATCTTGACAAAATATCTTCATGATAGTTTTTACTGTTTTAACTCCTTTTTCACAAAAATGGAGCTTTGTGGTGCCATCAAAGCAAACTCCTCACCAAACCATCACGGAGGAAGGGTGATGACCTCTTTCCACTCTTCCAATGACTTACTGGGCTTCTTTAAAGCTGTGTGCGTACACACAATCATTTTGGCAATTAAATTTTTCTTCAATTGTAAAAGTTTTCTCATCGCTAAACAAAATCTTTCAATGAAGACCATTGGAGTTACGGCCAAGGAGCACTTTGCATCTAGCCATTCTAATTTATATTTTTTTATTTTTTAACCTTTAGTCTCGTTATCTATTTACCTACATTTATCAAGTGTAACCTCCACTAGCTTCTTATCCACTGATATCTTATTCTTATTTTAGCTTTACTAGATCATTACTTATTCATTTTTAAATTTCTTTATTCGTCAATACTCATTTTCTTTATCTGTTAACCTACAGTTATCGAATGCAATCTTTACCAGTTTGTTATACACTCATTTTTTATCTTTTATCACAATGTGTTTAGTTTTAAGTTACACACTATATTATCCTTTGTTTTCTATTTTTATTCATACTTATTTTCTATTTTTGTTTGTATCTTCTATATATATATAATACTTGATATTTTAACTACACTGTCACCCATTATACTCTGATGTCATCTTGTTATTTCTTTATCAGACAAATGTTTCTTATTTAATATCTACTTATAATTGATTTATTTTATTTTCAACATGTACCTTTTATATTTTGAATCTTTTCTAGCCCTGATGAAGACCTGCAAGGTGGGTCGAAACATCGGCAAAACCATTAAAAATACCATTTCTTAAAAATTTAGTATTTATTTGACCGCAACCTTGACCAACTCCTTCTCATAATAAAATATATATTTCCTCATAATATATTTATGGAAGTCATATCGACTTAAAGATAGATCAATCTTAACTAAATGATAAAGTACAATTCTATTTCTACGTACCAGATAAGGAAGCTCCCATCAATAGGATGTATAGCAAACAACAGATCTGGGCTATGATGCCAATCTCGCAAGAGATTTTCAATTTTAACGTCGAGTGAGTCCGGAGAATGCGTCGACGTGGGACCTGCATCGGTGGCTAAAGAATTTATTGAAGTGGCATTGCTAAAAAATAAAATAATAAAAATCAATATTACATGTCACGTTTTCCTAAAAAGTGATATTAGTTTATTCAGTCAAACCTTAGTTTCAATATATGAGACATATTTCCAGAATGTCGATCTGCATAAAAGTTTTTGTAAAAACTGTAAGACATAATAAAATACTAAAAAAAAACATTAATTACCTTTAGACTTTTCTTATTAAATTTTGGTCATCGGTTGTACAAGATTAATGTTTAATCTATTCATTAAATGAAATAAAAAAATTAAGAAAATATCACAGTGAACGAATGACGTATTAGGGCGCCACTAACATTGATATAGACAGGAAAATAAAAATAATTGAAAACTAGTAAATATCGTTGGATTGGTATAAGAGTGCCTAAATACGAAAAGTTTTATTATTCTTTTTTTTTAGCTTAAAAGTCTTCTATACACCTATATTTTTTTAGGAAATAATTTCAGAATTTTAATTTTAATATTTACTGTAATAATAATTTACTATGTTTTTTTTTTTAAATGAAAATCTGTTAAAATTTAATTTCATGAATATATTTAAATGAAAAAAAAAATGAAAATTTTCTTTTTAAATAAAAAATAAGTCAATATTATTGATTGATAAAATGTCCGATTCGATGTTTTAAACTGAGTTTGAAACAATGATAAACCTGAATATGCAAACTTTAAATGCTGCTGTAAAATTCCACTTTTGGTTTATTATTTTCAATAGTGAACCATAGTGATCGAATGAAAATTCAAAAACTTAATCCCCTCTCAAAATTTGAGATTTTACATTTCAGGATACGTAGGATTCGAAAAACGAATAAAATTTTTTTATCCGTCCGCGCATTTTCTCCTAAAATACTGGACCAATTTTTTTCAAATTAGAGGTCACGCGAGGATGATCCTCATTCATTTTGTATTATGGCAGTTCCAAGCCATCCAATGCTGGAAAAATTTTGGTTAAAAAAAATAACATATGAATCGCAATGGGAAGATCTTCCTTTTTTGAAATCAGGTTCCAAAGATATAACCAAACTTGTTCAAAACAATGTGGAAAAATTGAAATTCATTCAGTAGGTTCACCACAAAATAAATTTCAACCCGCCCAGGACGGATTTGAACCAGCATCGCTGTTATAATCGCTGCTAGAATGCTAAACACCCTCAGCCATCACAATCTTAACAACATCATATTATGATAATCAAAATACCTTAATGTCTGATGACTACTTGAAGGAAAGCTGCCACCAGGATGGTGCTCGTCACTACCTCCGCTCTCATCCTGGGACACTGATTTTGCTACTCGGTGATTTTTCTTTTTACCTTGAAATGATAAAATTGATACAGAAATATTAATCATGATTTGAAATAAGCATGTAATTTTCAAGTTTATTTATTATCAGCCAATTTTACATCAATTTTCAAAATTTTGTCAACTTAATGACTACACATCTAATTACGACGTTTCGGCTCGTTGAGCCATTTTCAAGTCTAAATACCAATCATGTACCTGTCCTTTTCACTTATGCGAATTGCATGCGTCTATTCATAATAAAATTTTTTATTTTTGTCATGTCCACCTTATCATGTGTCAACGACATGTCATCAGTCTCATTTCTATTCAGTGACTGGTTTTATTATGAGTAGAAAAAATTTTTTATTATGAGTAGACGCATGCAATTCGCATAAGTGAAAAGGACAGGTACATGATTGGTATTTAGATTTGAAAATGGCTCAACGAGCCGAAACGTCGTAATTAGATGTGTAGTCATTAAGTTGACAAAATTTTGAAAATTGGTGTAAAATTGGCTGATAATAAACTTGAAAATAAATAGTATGCACCGAAGAAGAATTGGAGAAATATTGTGAATAAGCATGTAATATTAAACCTAAGAATAGATGGTTTTTAATTTCACAAAAAATTAATGTTTTCATTATTAACATTTTTATATTTACAATTTTTTGAATTATTTTAACTATAATTATGATTGACAAACATCTGCATTTGAAAATCGACTTCCTGTGAAAATTAACCGTTTGCCAGGTAATGAATATTTATATACAAAATAGAACCTTTCTATAGCTATACATGATAAAGGGGCATTTCATAAAAACTAAAAAAAAACAAACCAAAAAAACTACAGAATTACAGGAAATTACTCAGTGGATTTTTTTAATCCAATTAGAAATGTACTAATTTAGACAATACAACTTTATTCTCTGTAAAAGAAATCTTTTGATTAACTGCTTTAGGGATGGGCTACTTTTTTTTTTTTTTTTTCAAGTCTGACACTAAAACAAAAATGTTTTATTTTTAACCTGACAGGAATGCCATGGTAAAAAAACAACTTTGAGAAATCTGATTTAAATAGCCAAAGTATGCTAAAGACAAAGATCATAACAACTAAAGATTTTTTTTTTAAATAATTAAATATTATCAAATATCTCACCATCTTGTTCGGCATCATGATGATCGGATGATTCATGGTTACTTGGATCAAAACATAAGCCATCCTCTTTCTCAACAACTTTTTTAGTCAATTCCTTGAAATTTATAATTAAGAATAAATATTTTACTAATGTTTAATTAATTAAATTGATGTATGATAATAATAAATAAAAAAAAGTTGATATTTCCTAATAAATCAGAGCTTGGATTCTTTTCATGAAAATAATTTTGTAAAATAATTACTTATTTTTTTATAAATTAATAATTTTAATATTATCTATCAAAATTGAAAAAAGCATAATTTTGTTAAGGCTTATCAATTTTATGCCTAAGAATAATTTTATTGCAAATTTAGTATAATTTCAGTTAGATTTATACAGAATTCTCTTGCAAACGATCAGCCTTGCCACACACAATACTTAGCATGTTCACGCCGGCATGTCTATAACACCAAAAATTTAAATATATATATTTTTTTCTTTTCCCTTCTATAGTAAATGGGAGGTCTTGTATTTCTAAATCTCTACAATTTAAAATTTATATCATTAAGAAAAAAAAAAAATATATATATGTATATATATAATTCCTTATCCCACATATATTATTACAGTAAGGCTCGAAATCGGTTTTGAACCAAATATAAGCTCCTGTCATGCTCAAATATCATGAATGGGGTACCGTTAGATTCAGAATTTCACGGAGAGTTAGCGAATCGTATTCTCCGCTTTTGTTTTTCTTTCTAAAATAAATAAAGTTGATACAAACATTTTGCTAGGCTTCAATACTGGAACGGTGGTAGGTCTGTAGATCGATGCGGGACAAATTGGACCTTGAAGATTTTGATGCGTACAGCAAGACCCGGATAGTTCCGGAGGAACTATCGGATCCTGCGCTTTTAAGCTAAAAAATGTACTATTTCCTAGATAACGCAAGGCATAGGGTTCGCATCCACACAACCTTACATTAATTGTAATACTGTCATTGAATACATGTCTCATTTCGTCGACTAGAGGTCTCTATGATCGAGAGAGGAGGAATTTATATTATTTATCGATGGTATTTTTGATCGGCGAGCCATATCATCGTTAATTTTTCACCAAATTTCAAGATTGAGCTTCCAATTTCGAAGGCTTCATTCTCCTTCAAGCGGGCAAAATAGTCCAACTACCCCGAAAATTTAGGCAAACAAGTTATGAAAGAAAACAAACTTTATTTGCGAATAACTAAAAAATTACACACTTTTCCCTTGGTTATGCCCATGAATATATAAAAGATTACTAAATTTACTACAAATGAAAAAAAAAATCATCGAAATCGGACAATTTTTAGCAAAGATGTGGCTTACTGAAATTTGTAAACATGTTGGTTCCAAACAAAAATGAAGATTTAAATTAATTTTTGTTTTCTTTGTCGATTATACTTATCGATAAAGTAACATTTGATTTTTTTATCTTTTGATACGTTGCATTATTTTATTTTCTTATTAATTTAGCATTTGATAACAATATGCTGTGCGAATTTTTCTCACGGGCCTACTAGTAGTTAAAAATTAAAATAATGAAAATTTAATTGGGGTTACTTTAGAGAGAACACAAATAAAAGATTTTAGCCTAAGTTGCAGTCCTTCATCAGGGCTCTTACACCTAATGGGTGTTTGAATTGAGTGTTGTGGTCTTACCAGTGATCTATATACAATCTACATAAATACTTTGCCTGTATATAATAATTCGGGATATGGTGGACTCTCATGAGGACTCAAAGCCAAACTAAAACGTCTAAAGGATGAAACAGCTTATCATATTACTTGCTGGTGCGACAGGTTTGCTGGACCGACTATTCGGCATTGATAGGGTGATCGATCCCAAGGAAAACGAGCTCATCAACCCAACAAGCTTATTTTATCTTTCTCTGTTTATTTTATATTTATTTATGTATATATTTTTTTTTATTTCCTGTATTTTTACTTTACTTTACTTACTCGTTTTACTTTTATGTTTGAACAGGTAGAGAAATTTAGGTATCTAGGTTCTAAGATAACTAGAAAAAACGAAATTGAAGAAGAGATTAAGGTTAGACTGAAGGCGGGAAATGCTTATTTTTCTGTGACAAAACTGCTTAGTTCGCGCCTCTTGTCCCGAAACTTAAAAATTAGAATCTATAAAACAATTATCTTGCCTACAGTTCTTTATGGATGCGAAACTTGGCCGCTTACCTTAAGGGATGAGCAGCGTCTTAAGGTTTTTGAAAATAAAGTATTGCGTAGAATATTCGGACCGAAGAAGGATGAGTTAACCGGAGAGTTCAGACGGTTACACAACGCCGAATTGCGTGAGCTGTATCCGGGTAATATAATTGAGGTAATTTCATCGCGGCGAATCAAATGGGCTTGTAAAGTTGTTGGGCTTAGTAACGAGAGAATTAGTAAAAGGTTAATATGTGCGGTGCCGAATGGTAAGCGTCCGAGAGGTAGACCGAAGCGAAGGTGGGAAGATTGCATTAAAGTTGATGTGAAGGGACTGGGTTTGGACGGCGAACGGTGGAGGGAGGTGTGTAGTGGGCGATTGGTGGTGTCGGCATCGAACCTTCGGGTTCGCTAAGCCTTTTATTATTATTAGTATTTTTACTTTATAATTTCAATTATTTTGAACATTTTTAAATCAAGTTATAGACACACTAATATATTTATATTCTGTTCTAAAAGGACACTAGTCCTAGAATAAAGGTATTTTTATTTCATATATGATCGTCATACATCTTACAAATACATCACACTAATATATATCACAAATATATTCTATGTCCAGTATAGATTAAAAAATAAATATATTAAAAACTAACATAAATATATAAATTTCAAAACATACGTGTAATATTTTTTCTGCTTGAAGAGAGAAGTGCATTTCTTTATTGTTTAGCCAATGAAGGACAAAATTAGGTTCCCTTTCAGGATCTCCAGTAATTAAACTTGGAACAAGTGGAATGTCTGTAAAAAAAATATAATTAATTTTCTTGACAATCCTATTACATAACTAAGCTTCATTCCCGTTCTATATTAGTAATTGCATCTATACCTAGTCCTGTCATAAATATTGTTACAAGGAAATATATACAGATTTCAACAGAAAAATTAATTTACTGCACGTAATTTACTGAATTTACTGTTAATCAAGTGAATTTCTTTGCCCCAAATGTGAAACTATTCTTTAATATAATTTATTATCTAACTTAAAAAATATTAAGTCACAAATTGATCAAATAGCTTCAAAAGTTTTTATTAGTAATTGAATTTCTTTTTAAATTTGCATGGAACTTATTTCTAACTTTTAACAAATATTTTATCTCTGTTGAAATTTTTAGTCAGCACTTTTTTTTGCGTAGTGAATAATAAGACGAACAAGCCCCCTATCTTTTTTTCTATTATAAAATGTGAATATTTTGTATCATTTTTCATTCGTTTTGTTTTGTATATATTGTAAGTTTATGAAGACTTTTTTAAATTTTAATTATTGGATACTAGTTGCACATTTATTAGAGTTTAATTTTTTTTTTTTTCTTTTCTTTCTAAGCAGAGATTATTTTTAATAACTTCTCATTTGTTTTGATATAGCTTAAATATTTTCATTTGTTTCTTCTTGTATATTTTTTAGTATTACTTAATTACCTATGTTAGTTTACTTAAAGTTTTTTTTCTCCTTTTATTAATATAATGTAACAGATCTTCAGGGCAGAAGTATTTTTTTTTTTTCTTAATGGACTTCGTCCCAGAACGACATTTTTTCTATGTAACTAATATATTTTTTAATGTTCAATAGGAGTTTTTGAAACTGCTTCACTATTTTTTTTTTTTTTCGAATTTGAAGAAAAGTAGTTCTGTCCTATAAAGGGTTAGGTCAATTTTTTTTTTTTTAACTTACCCATTTCTGTCAACAAAACCTTTTTTTTTTTTTCAAAGCCTTTCTCAAATGTAAAAATCGTGGTATTACATATATATGATCTCGGATCAAAATCATAATTCAATTTTAATACCTCCACCAATAATATGATATAAAACAGACCTGTTTCGGCATTGATGGAAGCAGCTAAATGAAAATGGAGACCTGGTATCACTCCTGTACCGTGGAAACCGTACGAATGGAAATCGTGAACGCTATAAGTTGATGGAAGAGTCGGGATCGTGCTTCTGGCTGGGTTGATTCCTCCTAAGCCGCCTGCGCTCGAGCTACCCTCTTTAGCAGTTCGTCTAAGATGAAAACAAGTTCTGAAATGAAATTATAATGATAATAATCAAGAATTTACTTCAAGCCGTCACACTTTGAAGATAATTTTAATTTAACAAAAAAGTAGCCACAATAGTCATCTCGGAATAAATAAAATAATATTGTTATTTAAATTATAGAATATTTTTATTATTATTGCGATTTAAGACTTGCTTAGTTAGAGAGTTTAAATTTTGGCCTAAATAGACATAGCAACGAATCATTTTATTTAATATTTAAAAATTTCCTTATAATTTTGGCTTTACGAGACATTATTATTAGATTCTGTCATATCTTGAGGCTGCCTTTGTTGTCCTTACCTGTACGAGTTAAGATGGAATCACAAGATGAAAATTTATTGTATCTCAGCGGTGTGAAAAAGTCTTCGAACAAAGCAAATTTTTATAAAAATGATAAATGTTTCACTTTATTTATTTATCTTTTGAGTGCCATGTGCAATTACGTAGATTAGCGGAGCGTATTGCAATTTTTTTACAATATGTCAGTAAAGATTGTGTTTTTTTAGGTGTGTTTGTGTTGTTAAGATATTAAAATAAAGATTATGTAGATATTGTTATATAGATTATTATTATTGCATTACTTAAATATGCCTGTAATAATTATGTTGATTCAGAAATTGGAACACCCTTAAGATTTTTTGTTTACAGGATAATTACAATAATTTTATATAATTAAAAATTGTTTTTATTTTCTTAATTGTAAACTGATTTAATCCTTGCATTGTAGATGTAATATACAGAGTATTTCAGGATAAAGTGGCAAAACTGTAAAAATGAACTAAGGACCTCAAAACAAAAAAAAAATTTCCTTTGAAGGTATGTCCGCAAACACTTTGTTTAGGAGATATTCACACCTAAAGATTTTTGTTGTTATGAATTATTTACAAAGGAAGGAGATGGTCCAGGGTGACGGTCATAAATAGGCTAAATAGTGGTAAAACTACTTTATTAAAAGCCAACGTTAAACGTTAAACTGCAGGTCTAATTGAAACTCCTAGCTGAACATACCTCCCTGAAGAAGACCTGCAAAGTCGGGTCGAAACATTGGCTTTTAATAAAATAGTTTTACCACTATTTAGCCTATTCATGACTGCCACCCCGGACCATCTCCTTCCTTTATAATACAACTGTCAACTATTAAATATTAAATACGAATTATTTACATTACATGAAATAAGTAACACCTATTTATTTGTTCTAACTACTTCATTTATTAAATGTAAACATTAACATTCATATTAAATGTTTTTCAAAGTGATTTCCTAGCATTAAGACAGGCTCAGCATCTTTCTTCAACGGCAGCAGTGGCAGAACAGCACTGGATATGTGTTATTGTCACAAGATTCAATTCTCCTTCTTCGTAAAGAAATAAGGTAATTGACCGGACTTGCGCAGACTTTTTGTTTAATGTCATCCCAAACTATTGTAAAACCGTATACAAACACCATATCTGCATATTCATCATTAGTATAAATCAAAGGCATAATGATGAGTACTCTACGAAAGCCTTTTACAAACTGATAAATGTTATTGAGAGTTCCCAATGCTAATTCCAAATAGTATTAATGTTTATGCTGCCAATAGTTTTTATACAGTTAGGGATAAAAGGCCATATTAGTATTTTATCTACTCCATCTATTAAACAAAGCGTTTGCGGACATACCTTCACTTTGAACTACATTTAATATGAATGTTAATGTTTACATTTAATTAATAAAGTAATGAAGAGAAGAATAGTTGGGGTGTTCAGTCAAAAGGGAAGGGAAAAATAAATGATAATATTTATTTTTTACATATGCCGACGTTTCGACCTGAAGTTCAGGCCTTCATCAGGGCTAAGAAAATAACCAGATAACAAGGTATGATAAACATAAGTAGTGATGGTAAAAAAGATAATAAAAAATAAAATAAAAAAATTAGAAAAATAAAATAGATAAATATAAAGTAAAATGAAATTGTTAGAATAATGACTAAGAACTAAGAGATAAATAATAAAAATCGTTACAAAGTGTGGAATGATGAAGTAGGCATATGTCTCCTTAAGTGAGAAGAGATGTGTTCTCTCTCCCCCTCCCTTGTAACGAATTTTATTCTCCATGCGACACTTAAGGAGACAGGTAGTACTTCTTTTATTTATTTCTTATTTCAGCTTTCTCAATTTCTTCCCTCCTTCCTTTCATTCCTTTTCTCTGTTTTTAACTCTTTATTATATTATACATTGTCTGTACATCTTGATAGACTTTACAATATCTCAATTTTCTATCTAACTACTCCATTCTCAATGTTTTAATTTTACTATTTATTTTAATTTCTTATATAACTTCATATTTCTTTTATATGTTTTACATTTTATTCTAAGATTCCCATTGTAACACTTTTGTCACCCTTTTTGATTATGCCTACTTCATCATTCCACACTTTGTAACGGTTTTTATTATTTATCTCTTAGTTCTTAGTCATTATTCTAACAATTTCATTTTACTTTATATTTATCTATTTTATTTTTCTAATTTTTTTATTTTATTTTTTTATTTTTTATTATCTTTTTTACCATCATTACTTATGTTTCTCATACCTTGTTATCTGGTTATTTTCTTAGCCCTGATGAAGGCCTGAACTTCAGGTCCAAACGTCGGCATATGTAAAAAATAAATATTATCATTTATTTTTGCCTTCCTTTTTGACTGAACACCCCAACTATTCTTCTCTTCATTATCCACGACAGTCAACCAATTACCAATTATTAATAAAGTAGTTAGATAGGTTTTATTTATTTCATATAACGTAAATAATTCATAACAATGAAAATCTTTAGGTGTGAATATCTCCTAAATAAAGTGTTTGCTGTCATACCATCAGCGGAAATTTGTTTCCTGTTTTGAGATCCTTAGTTCATTTTTGTAGTTTGGCCACTTAACCCTGAAACACCATGTATATTCCTGTCTATATTACTGTTGTAATCTAATACTCTACTCAATCTCATAAAAACATATAAATATTTAATGAGGTTGGCAAAAAAAAAAATTCCTGAGTGACATATAACAAGTATATTTGTCACAAGACCTTACAAGTTAACGTTTCGGGAATATCTTTCATCAGAACTCCTTTGTAGTTTCTTATTCCAATTCTTTTCTAGAATATAAGGATAATAATAAATATATTGTTAAACTGGTTCAAATTGCTATGGTTAACAATTACATTTACCTGTTTTGTTTGTGAGCGCCATAGTCAGTAACATTTTCATATTTTTACTTCAACATTATCAACAACAACATATATTTTGCCTACCAATTGGCCTACATTATCAAATGATTGCTTTACCTTTGTACTTTACTTGCTGTTCTTCATGATTATGGACTGTTTGTCTGTTGATTTGATTAAATTAATTTTTTTTAATCTGTAAATATAATGATATTCCCGAAACATTAACTTGTACGGATATATGACAAATATACTGATAATATGTCACAAACAAAGCTTTTTTTTCCAAACTCAAGAACAGAAATCCGGAACTTCCCAACTAAAGAAGAAAAATAAGATACAAATATTTAATTTGGATGTCAATCTCATTTAGAAACAAATACAATGCTCAATTTAACTGTAATTATTTAATTACAAAAATTATTAATCCTGAATTACTTTTATAATTAATTTCAAATTCCATCCCAATAGAATCATTATCATGATATCATGTTTTGATCTGTGATATCATATTACATAGAAAAAGTAGAGATGAAAATTTCAATTTCAAAATAAAATTAAAAAAAAAAAAAGATTTATATATAATATAAAATAAAGAAATAACTAAGTTGAATAACCTAAGTAATATAACAATCAGATCTAAAGTGGAAATCTAATTTACTTAAAAGAATAATTAATTTGCAAGAAATACATAAATACAATTTAATACAATGGACGTACACAATACAAGTATATATTTCAACTAGAACGAGGTAGGGAATAAAATTAGAAACATTATTACCTACATATATAAGGGAAAGGATTCAATTACTTTATTTACATAAAAATACGATGGTCATATTTTGTAAGAAGCAATAAACAAAAAATAAATTTATAAAACTTAAATGCAAAAATACATTATTTGTTATTATAATAAGCAAAGCATACAGGACAATTTCATATGACGCCTCTGAATTGGTTGTTATTCAATCCAATCCACTTTAACAAAAAGAAACTTCACTTCTATCGACAAAAAAAAAAAGAAAAACTCCCTGCAGCAAAAGTATTAATGTTTCGTCGCACAATTCTCTTAAAATGGTTGAAATATTTAAAGGATTCAAAGCTAGAATAAATTGACGAGATTAGTATACACGCTGAACTGAATGAATAATCTGGATAAATGATAATCTGTACTATTTTTGTTAATGTTGAAACTTTCAGAACTATGTTTCTAAACGACCCAGCTAAAAAAGTGTTAAGAGCTTTTTAACTCAATCACAAACAAAAACACAGTCTACACAGACCACTTCCATACATTCAAATATCTATTTTAAGGAGAAGCTAGTTCGGGATGTCGTTAATAAACACATACCATATATATTAGTAGCACTTATTTTGTTAGCCTTTAGACACATACTATATATTGTAGTAGCATTTATTTCGTTAGCCTATAAAGAAACACTATATATTGTAGTAGTGTTTATTTTGTTAGCCTATAAACACACACTATATATTGCAGTAGCGTTTATAATGAGACCGTATCTGTATGTGACAGATCTCGACCGGGGCAAAGCAGTGGTTGCTCGAATCAGAAGAAATCCCATTCGAAAACAACAAATCATGTCTCGGGAAATGGGAATCTCTGTCAGATCAATGTCTCGCATGATAAAAAGTGACCTTAGGATGGTGCATCTCAAAAAATGACAGGAAAAAGGCTAACCACTTCTCTAAAAAAAATTAGAGGAGATAGATACAAAGTGCTCCTTGGCCGTTACACCAATGGTCTTTTTTTTTTTAGGTCG